TTTTGAAACTAAGCGCATAATTTCGAAATCATGTTGTCTACGCAGCATCGTCATAATATCCAACACGTGATATCAAAAGTAATATTATAGCAAAGGAGAGCAATACTTGCAATATGAAAAATCCTCGCAGGTCTAAACCGTTACTGTCTTTGCTAAGAAATTAGCATTTAGTTTTCTTTCTTCTCTATTCCTGCTCATTTCATTCGCTCATTCCATGTATATGAAAATATACGTATTTAATATTCAAATGAAAATAAAATATAAAGTTTTATAAGAAAAGGCGTGAGTATGTTGGATTCTCTATTGAGAATAAACGTAGCACCGGTATACAAATAATGGATTTGTTCTGTTGCTGCTGATAGAGCGAGCTATAAGAATTTAATTTTGCAAATGCTGAGAGAGAAATAAAAGTTAGCCAAAAGTTTCGGTTGGAGCAAATCTGGTGTAAATTAATTAGCTATAGTTTCCCAACTTGGGCATTGAATGAGGGCTGATAAGACCTAGAAAGATCTTAGTAGTCCAAAGGACTGCGAAAGAAATGAGATGGCCAGTGTATGATATATACACAAACAAAATTCTTTCCGTTGTTTCAAGAATGTCCAGAAACGGCGGAGGAATTGAATGCGTCAGATGGATGCTACTTCGAAGATGACTAGGTATTTATCTCTATATTTTAAATAGAACTAACCTACAAACATGTATGATATATACACAAACAAAATTCTTTCCGTTGTTTCAAGAATGTCCAGAAACGGCGGAGGAATTGAGTGCGTCAGATGGATGCTACTTCGAAGATGACTAGGTATTTATCTCTATATTTTAAATAGAACTAACCTACAAACATTTTCGGCATTCTTATAGAATAAACAAAATGTAAGATACTGAAATGCAATACAGAAAATGCCCTAGTACAAGCGCAATTACCTAAAGCCCAACTTTAGATATAAGGGTTATTAATCTGTAGCATTAAAGTGCTTGCTCCAAAATGGAAAATCCTTAAAGCTGCAGAAAGTTGCATAAAATTAAATCATCAAAGAATTGAAATCTACGGTTACAAATAGAATAATGAAATGAAAAAGATTAATAACTACTAAAAATATGGAAATCATAGGTTAATGTTATTGGAACTTAATAAAAACTCAGTTAAAGTTTTAGAGTGTCAAACATGACATGTTCTTAAATCTCATAATACATTGTGACAAACTTAAAGAAAGTCTCCAAAAACTAGAGTAACTAAAAGATTAATGCTTGATTTGTAACATAAAAGATTTTAATTGAAACAGGGCTGTATTTATAAAGAAAGCCAGTCGAAATTATTTTTTCTAATGTTCCTGAATATACACTCTTTTGCAAAAAAATCGGAGCACGAAGAAGAATTTTTGCGATCTTGACGAAATTTAGTATTCACAAACATCTTGATAAAACATGCAAATGATCAAAGTTGCAAGGCGAATGCACAGGAATTGCGATCATAGAGCGTATTTCTAGTGCGCAATTCGCAAAGTATAAAACCACTAACAGAGGTGGAAAATTTATCTTCTTTTGCTGCTGCCATTGTAATTCCGTAAAGAAGCAACTAAAGATGCCATTACGACGATATCGAAGACCTTACAGACAACTAAACAAGTTCGAACGGGCTCGCATTGTAGGTTTGTGTGAAGCTGGGTGGCCATACCGAGCAATAGGCCGCCACTTGCAGCGTACAGACACTGCTGTGCAAAGATGTTGGCAGCAATAGTTGCTACAAGGAAATTGCCGACGAAATAAAGGCTCTGGAAAGCCAAGCAGCACAAATGCGAGGGCAAGATAGGATGATTGTTCGCCAGGCCCGAACTGACCCAACGGTATCATTGCCGACTATTCAACGCACTACAGCCAAGCCACGTCTGTACCTCCCGTGGTACCGTCCACCTTCTCACGGCGCTTGTCTGAGGTGGGGTTAAGCTCACAGAGGCCTTTAAGACTTTGTCTTTGACCCCACAACATCGGCGGAGTCGTCTGGAGTGGTGTCGTAGCCGATCATCATGGCTGCCATCAGACTGGCATCGTATAGTGTTCAGTGATGAATCCGGCTGCACTCTTGAAGCAGATGACCACCGTGTTCGTGTCTGGAGAGAACGAGGCCAGCGGCCCCTATCAGTCTTTGTTTTCAAAGGCATATGGCCAAAACCCCTGGTGTAATGGTCTGGGGCGCTATTTCTTATGACAACAGGTCATCTTTAGTCATCCTCCGTACATCCTTAACAGCTCAACGATATGTTTATAACATAATGCGACCAGTTGCATTAACCTTCATGGCACGTCATCCTGTGGCCATTTTCCAACAAGATAATGTCAGGCCACATACAGCTGGCATATGTCTGGACTGTCTCCGTGAGGTTGATTCTCTTCTTTGGCCATCAAGGTCACCAGACCTTTCACCAATCGAATATGTATGGGACACTGTAGGCCGCCAGATTCGGGTAACACAAAATATCGCAGATCTGGAGCGACAACTGATGAATGCCTGGCAGAATGTGTCGCAGGATGACATCAGGAACCTCTAACACTCCTTGCCTCGAGGAATTTAAGCACGCATCGCCGCCAGTTTTGCTAACTGTCTAGGACACTATTTTGATTTTAAGAAGAAAAATGGGCATATTGGGCACTTTTAAATCCACACAAATAATAAAAGAAAGATGAATAAAATATAATTAAAGAGATGAGAAAAAGTACCAGAATATCTCAAAACCACAGAACACATAATTACGAGCCTTTGAACGAGTATTCCTGTGATACGGTTGATGGAAAATTCTGTCAATTATATAGAAAGTTCGCGAGTATTTACATAATCTAGTGTTTATAATCTAAAGCGAAATACCGCATACTTTTCTAACCGTCTGTTTACCCTTTAAAAATTTATGAAAACTAATTCTAAATAAAATTTTACCAGTGTAAGCTACATAAAGAGAGGTGATAACACTTATTTTAAAATGAGCAATACCAAAAGAATTTTACACAAAAAGTTATGAATCATTCGATAACAAATTTCTACGTTATTGATTTTCATAAAAACGTTTTGATTACAGGAATTGAACAAAATTTTATTTTCACTGCCACATGAATCAAAACATGGGGATCTAATAATAATTTTTAAATAAAGTCAAACTTGTATTCAGAAGTTTTGTAACACTGAGAGTTTTATTACGGAAATGAAAGAAGCGTAAAACTGTCTAAGTGCATGACAAAAGGAAAGCTTTCTTCAATGTCAAGAAATGTCAACATGTATAGGAATTTTTATGGCATTTCTCGTAATTTAAATGCAAACATATTTACACGTATAACTGAAATTTCAAAATAGCGGCTCTATTATTAAGCTTTTAAATGGATGTAGTAATACAAATATTGTTTGTTCAACTACAGTAGTGGGAAAAAAGAATTACATGGCATTTATTAAAAATTATATGATATTCAAAAGGCATCTGTTATATATTGTTAAGTGATGCCAACAAGTGACATCACTTAACAATTATGAATGACAAAATTTTGATAGGATTTCTATAGTCAGCTGTACGAAATGCATTTATTTTAAAATAAGTCTTGGCTGCCAAGCGTTTTCTGTCTATGCTAAGTCTGATTTTGCTGAAAAACGTATTTGTTTCAGTTACTAATTGAGTTTTAATATAATTTATTTCAGCAAAAAGTAGTAAATGCATTTTTCACACATCTCTTTCTTTTAAGATATTTCCATATTAAAATTAGAGAAAATAAAAAAATTACTAAATTAAAATTTCAGTTAGATACTAAGTTAATTTACAGCATTTGGGAAATCAAATAAACGAGCAGTTTACAAATGGAATTTATTAATGAAAGTATCCTTTGAAAGAGGCGGTGGTATTGCCAAATGAAAACGCTATATACCCTGAGTCCACAAATGCCCTTACCCAGCCTTTAGTTTTGCCACAGTTAGTCGTAGGCATAAAATTTCAGTTGTGAAAATGTTTTAAATGCTGCAAAGATTCATGTTTTACTAGTTTCAAAGTTAATTTTGTATAAAATACAAAATCTAACTTTTTATCCGTACCATCAGTCTCGAACCCAGGCCTTTTGGCACCTCATTTAACGTCGGTACCTGAATGATGGGCTCCCATGTCTTTGGATTTGTCGTCATTGAGAAAATGACTATGCACTTTAAATACCATTTTTGCTAATTATTTTAACTAAGTCTAGATAAAATAATTTTTCAAAATAGTTAGCTTAATGTTGTACGCAGCGGTACGCTTTTTATTATCGAAAATGCATGAACTATCTTATGCATTGTAGACTGGCAACAGCATCATTTTATGATTATCAGGGTCTTAATGCAAACTGAAAACAATAATTCTTCACGAAAGATTAAAATTTAAAATTAAAAAAGGAATAATTATGAAGCCAAATTTCAATTTAATTAAACTAAAATAATATTAGTTGCTTAAATAATAATGTTAAATTACTAATGTTAGTACTAAATTATCAATTTCTGAGAAAGCATGGCTGTAACTGTCCGTGCCTTCATAGAAGGCAACGGTGGCCATCTATTAGCTGCTTCGGTCACCACTTACGGTCCTTATAATGGCTCAAGGCTAATGATTATTAAACAAAGCGCCAGGCCATTAAAATATTATTAATTTTAATTCATTAATATTTTGTTATTTCAGTGTAACATTTTACAGATTGCTTTCTGTTTCAAGGGATGCTTTTTAGAGATTACAGTACGTTATAATTTCCGCTCAATATTCAGGACCTTGTTTTCTGTATATTAGGCAATATGAGCTATTTAATTGAAACACATATCTAAACTCTCTTTATCGTTCCGCTTTATCACTGAACTTTTCTTCCTAAGGAACTGCGCATGCTCCTTCTGAAGTTTCACTCGCTTTCTCTTTCTGTTTCGCATTGTCTAGTATCATTGTTTCTTATCGTCAGCTAAATGTAGTAGAAATTACTAATGATAACATATATAGAACGGTAAAGGAATGTGGGGGGGTGTAGCTCAGTGGTCTAGAGCATTCGACTGCAGATCGAGAGATCCCCGGTTCGAATCCGGGTGCCCCCTTCATATATTTTAAGTTCAAATTAAAAACTTTTAAGACAAAGTATTGATAAGTATTAACTATCCTTATCAAAATAATTAATAAAAAACCCGGTTATAAAATTATTTTTAATTCATGGACGAAGAATCTATAATTTGTAATGATCATGTTTTAAAATATTAAAACAAATTATGATTTCATTAGCCGTATACATTAAAGGAAACATTTTTCAAGGCTTGATTTGCCAAATAAAATGAAACTGCAATATAATCCTTTTTTTTTATGTATCAATTTTAAAATAAATTTTTTGAACGTACATTTGCAAAGGACCACATATTCGCTTCTGAAGTGTAACATTTGCTAAATCCTTCTTTGCTTTTTTTATACAATTTTGCAATAAAATTTTAGAAAAAATTATTATACATTTTTGATGCAAATAATTCATAGAAATTTCTCGAACTCTTGAATAGCGCATCATCCCAGTTCTTTTGAAATTTAATCTTAAAAAAATTACTTTTATAAGATATAAAACATACATTTTAATTTTTATGTTCTTAAAGAATTAAACTCTTAAAACTTCTTCCAAAAATATGGTGCTCAACATAAGTGGCCGAGTGAAGTTCGTCGCTGTTGGAGGATGAGCTCGTACGTCACTATATTTTTCGATACGGGGATAATGACTTAACATTTTTCATATGGCCTCCGAGGTCTCCCGACTATACACCAAGCGGCCCTTTTCCCCCGTGGTGGTATATTGAAAACAATTGTTATATATTCCCAGTGTCAGTACCATTAATAGGATCCAGGACCATATTAAAATCCAGTCGTCAGGGCCATACAAAAACTCTTACTAAGAATACCAAAATACTATAGGCTTGAACTTCATAGGGTACCTACTCACACCGGAATACTGGGTAATGAAATTGCAGATGCAATAGCCAAAAGAGCAGCAACTGAACCCCATGTTCGCACGCTTGACGTGGCTGGAGTAATTCTCAGCTGCCATCCTCGTCAGCAGCACAGCCCCTCTATGCTCTGTACCTGAACTAATTTTATCGTAAGTTAGCTTATTCGGCTTTTCTTATTCCCTGTATATACTTGTCTCCTTGGACTGTAAACCCTGAATTATGGACCTTGAATTATGTATTTTTCCTTATTTTATGAATTGTTTTCACTGTTTCGCTTTTTTTTATTTTATGTATTATTTCGCTTTCTGGTATTTTACTTCTTATTATTTTTAGTATTGCTATTTAGTATTTAGTATTTAGTAATGTCTATTTTAGATATTATTATTACTGTTTTATCAGCCACTTTGTTAATTGCTCATATATTGCACTGTACTCATTTATTGTTCACGTTGTGGATATCTTTTGTAACCACTTATGCATAACTCTGTAAATATGTAACTGAAATTGTTCTTCTCACCCGCAATGCACCCTTCTTCCATCATTGCACTATCGACTCGTCCAGCATTTGTTTGCACTGCCCCAGCACTCGTCTAGAGCACAATATGTATATATAAGTGTGTTATGTTGATCAAGTTATTTCCGTCAGCGGGGCTATATATATCGTTGGCCGATATACTAACTACCCAGTGGACCGGCTGCCTCGCTGTCGGTGGAAAGAAAGAAAGTAGAGGAGAATAATTTTAAAACTAACCGATTGGATGTTCATGGCCAGAGATAGAAAAGCTTGGAATTCGATTCTCACAAAAGCCCCATCCTGGGCTGTCTGGCCATTGAAGAAGAAGAAGAACTATGATAGATATGTTTACTAGATGGCCCGAAGCAGACCCGACATAACTGCCATACCAGACATATGCATGCCCAGTACCACAGGCTTTCTACGACCATTGGATTACTCGATTTCGTTTACCGGCTGTTATTACTACTGACCAAGGGCGACAGTTTGAAAGCGGCTCACTTCGAGCCCTTTCACAATCGTTGGGAATCAAGGGGATTAGGACGTCCACGTACCACTCACAGCCGAATGGACTTATTGAGGAGTCCCACCGTCCTTTGAAAGGTGCCTTAGTAGCTTATGATACCAGTAACTGGGTGGCGGCACTCCCAACGCTCCTGATGGGTTTCCGCTCCGCTCTCAAGAAGGACATAGGAGCAACCACTTCTGAAATTGTGTATGGAAAGACTATTCGTCTCCTAGAAGAATTCTTTAATCTGACACCTACGTAAGCGTCCCCGAAACAGTTTGTGGAATATTTAAAATCCTATTTTTCCAATATCCGCCCGACCACCCACAACTTAACGAGTCCACGCATTTGTTTGTTTAAGGCTGCTATCACACGTCAGATTGTTTTGGAAGAACAACTGTTTGTAACAATTTTTCTGCTTTGTCACAACAGCCAATAACCACAGATCGCTTTGGAGTTAACACAGGGGAAACTGGTTCCCCACTACAAACAAGCTGATAGCTGATTGGGTGAAAACGAACAACTTGCAATTTTTTTGGAAAGGAAGTAAAAAGTCGCACGTCTTTCTTTCAATAGTAAACGAGGCAGAAAAATTGTCCGAAACAGTTTTTCGTGTGAAACAAGCGCCGTGTGATATGGGCCTAACACAACGGAGTTAGAAGCCACTCAAACCTTATGATGGACCATTTAATGTGCTATAAAAACGAGATAAAGCGTCTGATCTGGAAATTCTGGACGATTAATACGACCCCCGCATCGGTATGTCACATTTCGTTGACACTGCGGAGGGAGTATGCAAAGACAGCGCCAAACAGGCGATACAGACTCAAAAGCTCTAGAAAAAACCGCCAATTGCAAAACAGATGCAGCGGCAGCGCCAAACAGGCGATACGGACTTAAAAACTGTACAGAAAAGCGCCAATTGGCGAAACAGTAAACCCGTTTGGCAAACCTACAGGCTGACGGGGAGAGAAGAATTTTCCCCGGCAGTCAAGTGGAACTACTTCAACAAATGTGTGCGTCTCTGCTTCGCCGAGATATGTGAACTTGTGTACTCGCATCTGTACTGTGCTCTGAATTTCTTAAGCCGTTATAATGTACCCGGCAACTGTTACTTTTCTTATTAAATTGATTATTAATTGTAACATGTCTATCTTAACTAAGATTTCGGCTTTCCTAGTTAATGTTAGGGATATTTTCGTATGCACGTGTTACTCGCACGTACATCATTGGTGACCTGTCCCTCGCTCCTTCTGTTTCGATCCTAATGACTATCTGTCTCAATCTTTGTTAAAAAAACTAAAAATATGCCTTATTTTGATGCCAATGCTCTTCCTTATGACTGATAAAGGCTCCCACCCTATTTATTTCCTCCTCATTTATCGTACGGATTACACGTGGTTTATCACACTTAAGGAGATTTACAGTATGTGGTCAATTTTTAATTATCTGTGATTGGTCTTAATTATGTTTTTGGATATTTTTGCTCTAAAATTAAGTTTAATTTAATTATTGCTTGTTTAAAATTGATCTTTGGGTAATATATATGTGCTCACACTTTTGTTGAAATATTGAATGTCTTCATTATTTTATTCTAAATTGATACTGTTTTTGATAAGGTATAGTGCAAAACATTAAGTTTACGATTTACGATATATTTAGAATTGGCAACCATGCCAGGATCGGAAGGCCAAACCAACGAGGAATCGAATAGGGGCGGTTCAGGAGCCACAAATCTCACACGTGGCAGTTAAAATTCCCCCTTTATGGAAAAAAAAATGTTAAACTTTGGTTTATTCAAGTTGAAAGTAACTTTGCTTTAGCGAAAGATAGTAGCGATAGTACAAAATACAACCACGTGGTTTCTTCGATAGACCCTGAAACTCTTTCCGCCGTATCAGATATTTTATTTAATCCCCCAGCGACGCTAAATATGATGCTCTTAAAGCTAGGTTAATAGTAGAATTCTCAGATTCGAAAGCGAGCAAATACGCAGACTTATTTCTGAATTGCATTTAGGGGACGACAAAATCTCACTTATTGAGAAAATGAGAGAATTAGGTGGAAACTGTATAACTGACGAATTTTTAAAATCATTATGGCTGCAAAGGTTACCTTCCGAGGTGCATGCCATTTTATCAATAAGTTCGGAATCCTTAGACAATTTAGCAAAAATGGCTGATAAGATAGCTGAAGTGCGCACGCCAACGAACACAGCGTGTTCGCGGGTCCAGGCAGCTTCGGCGAGTTCCCCCAGAAACCCTAACGATTCTGGTGCCCCCCCCCGAGGAGCTTAAGGCCTTAAGGATGAAACCTCTGCCCTAAGTAAACAAGTCGAGCGACTCTCCCGCGGAAAAACGAGGAATAATTTCCACCGGGATCAAATAACAACGCACGTAGTTTTTCGCGTGGGCATTCCCGAGAGCGTGTTGAACAATTATTGTTATTTTCATTCGCGATTCGGTAATAATGCACGAAAATGTCGAGCACCTGTTCTTTTTCTCAGACACTACGGCCCAGGAAAACTAGTAGTAGCGGCTGTCGATCGAAATTCATCAGCAGTGCACATGCATGTCGTTTACATGTTTACGATAACAGATTAAATTTAAACTTTTTGATTGATTCGGGCTCGGATGTTTCATGTGTGACACCGACTTCTAAGTTTAAGAAATTGCATCCTGATTCGCTTCAATTATTTGCCGCGAATAATTCCAGAATTTCTACGTATGGAACAAAATTGTTAACTGTGAATTTAGGACTTAGACGAAACTTTTCTTGGAAGTTTTTAATCGCCGATGTACCAGTGCCTATAATAGGAGCCGATTTTTTAAGGCATTTTGATCTTTTAATCGATTTAAAACGAGGTAGGCTTATCGATAATACTACGAATTAACTCGTATTGGTTCTCTTTCCGATTCTAAAAATTATTTTTCGGTAAAGTTAATATCTGGTGATTCACTATATCACAGAATCTTGAAAGACTTTCCGGAAGTACTGAAGTTAAAATCCGATTCGGGTAGAGTAAAGCATAGTACGGTTCATTACATCGAAACAAACGGTCCTCCTGTGCACAGTAAACCGCGTAGGTTAAGC